ATACCACGACTTGAGCAAGGCATTCTCTTCCTATTTAATACCACGACTTGAGCAAGGCATTCTCTTCCTATTGTATACCACGACTTGAGCAAGGCATTCTCTTCCTATTTAATACCACGACTTGAGCAAGGCATTCTCTTCCTATTATATACCACGACTTGAGCAAGGCATTCTCTTCCTATTGTATACCACGACTTGAGCAAGGCATTCTCTTCCTATTTAATACCACGACTTGAGCAAGGCATTCTCTTCCTATTACATACTACGACTTGAGCAAGGCATTCTCTTCCTATTGTATACCACGACTTGAGCAAGGCATTCTCTTCCTATTTATACCACGACTTGAGCAAGGCATTCTCTTCCTATTATATACCACGACTTGAGCAAGGCATTCTCTTCCTATTATATACCACGACTTGAGCAAGGCATTATCTTCCTATTTAATACCACGACTTGAGCAAGGCATTATTTTCCTATTAAATGCCTTGCTCAAGTCGTGGTATTAAATAGGAAGAGAATGCCTTGCTCAAGTCGTGGTATTAAATAGGAAGATAATGCCTTGCTCAAGTCGTGGTATTAAATACTCTTCCTATTGTATACCACGACTTGAGCAAGGCATTCTCTTCCTATTATATACCACGACTTGAGCAAGGCATTTTCTTCCTATTATATACCACGACTTGAGCAAGGCATTCTCTTCTTATTATATACCACAATTTATTTTCACAGACAGACATTACACAAAACCTTCTACTCAATAATTTCTAAATGTACGATTTATAAACAGAAATTAAGCACAAAATTATATTAAATATTTTTTATTATTATTTTAATTGCATTTATAGTAATATAATAATAACTAATCAGAATCGAAATGCCTTTACTGCACCCACTTCACCCCTAATTTCTACATTATTGGCTGAGAATTTCAACAAGATCCTGTTTTCTATAAATGACAACAATAATTCCACTCCTCGTACATGGTTTATTTTGTATATAATACAAATAAGGAAGGGAATAAAATTATTTTTTTATTTTTAACAAGTATACGACATACAGTTGCACAATTATTTATATGTTAATATGCTGTGATGTATGAAGCTAGAATGATTGATCTATTGGTACCAGTGGACGTTATTGAATGTCAATGATTATTTATCTTGTATCTGAATAAAGAACTGTTGTGAAAATATTACTTACGTTGTTTTCATTTTTGATGTAAATCATCAATTTTTACATCTTCTGAAGATTGTGATTTAGTTAATAATTATCAAAGAACTTGGCGAACTTCTATTGTTTATTAATCTTATATCTTTATAAAGGTCACCAGCCTACTTCAATGCTGTCTAGCTGCCTTGTCCCCTCTCACTTCCCTGGAGCTCTACCACACTGTCAATGCAGGAATTTTACATCAGCCCATCCCGTGGCAAGAATTCCTTCAAAGACTGGACATTTTGACCATTAGCAACTTTTTGATAGTTCGACAGGACAAAACACTCATGTTTGCCCATCCTTCCTTGAGAGAGTGGTTGATTCGCAGAGAAGAGAATGAAGGCACAAAGTTCCTCTGTGATGTCAGGTATCTTAACCAAACATCCCTTGGTGACACTACAATAAGATTTATGACTTACTACAAGCTATCAGACTTAACAAAACATCCCTTGGTGACACTACAATAAGATTTATGACTTACTACAAGTTAACAGACTTAACAAAACATCCCTTGGTGACACTACAATAAGATTTATGACTTACTACAAGGTAACAGACTTAACAAAACATCCCTTGGTGACACTACAATAAGATTTATGACTTACTAAAAGTTAACAGACTTAACAAAACATCATCTAGTGATACAGCAGTAGAATTGAGGGTTTATTACAAACTAACAGACTTAACAAACATCCCCTGGTAACACAGCAGTAAGGTTGATGACTTTTTACAAGCTAACAGACTAAAAACAACATCCCCTGGTGGCACAGCAGTAAAATTGAGGGCTTATTACAAGCTAACAGTCTTAATAAAACATTACAATCCTAGTTTTAAACACATTATTGTATCCTTTTTTTTACACTTAAATATAAAAATTCAAAATTGGTTTGGTTTGGTTTTTGAATTTCGTGCAAAGCTACACGATGGCTATCTGAGCTAGCCATCCCTAATTTAGCAGTGTAAGACTAAAGGGAAGGCAGCTAGTCATCACCACCCACCGCCAACTTTTACCAACGAATAATAGGATTGACCGTCACATTATAACACTCCCACGGCTGAAAGGGCGAGCATGTTTGGTGTGAAGGGGATTCGAACCCGCGACTCTCAGATTGCGAGTCAATTCAAAATTACCTATAATTAATTTAATCTTATGTGTCAGATATCTGTAAAACACCAGGTTTGATTTCCCTTGGTGGACAGAGCACAGATAGTCCAATGTGTAGCTTTGCACTAAAACACACAAAAAAAACCCAATAGAGACACAAAAGAAACTCTCCAGATTATTGTGATTATTATTTCAGTTTTATCCAATATTGACTAAGTTAGAGTTCTTTGAGAATTTTGTTAGAAATTGCTATGTTTTCTATGACAATGTAAATATGTAAATATAACAATGTGTATAATTTAACAGTTTTTGCACAGTCTGTTGTTAGAAGCATTGTTACTTTGTTATAGTGTTGCAGCTTTCTCGAGAAATGTAACCATTTTACTTGTTTGTAAAGATTAGCTGCTAGCCTAAATTTGCATGTTTACTATAATATCTACAGGTTTTTCTTAACACTTTTAGGTATTCAAAGAACTGAAACTTCAAACTCACGGATTCTTCTTTCTAAGAAAAACCACATCGAATGTGAATGAGAATCAGATAATAAAAAATTCTTTGCATGTGTTGATGGTTTTATTTTTTTTTTTTTGCTCAGGACTGGACATGCATTGATAAGCTTTCGTCTTAGCCGACTGGAAGCACCACTTGATCCAAATCGTTGTTTGGAGCTTGGCCATCACATCTTGAAGGCTCACATCTACAAATCGGTGGCTCGAGACATGCCCCCTGGAATCCTTTCTCGTGATCTGCAAGCTCTGTGGATTTACCACAGCACATACGACCTCTCAAGGGTTTTGTGTGCGGTGAGGAATGTGTATAATCCTAATGTTAAGGTAAGATGCAACTCCTAATAAAACACTGAACTCCAAAGCATAGTTATTGCAATAATTTTGTGTTGTTGTATGTTTGTTTGTTTGTTGTTAAGTACAAAAGTACACAAGGGGCTATCTGTGCTGTGCCCACCACAGGTATCAAAACCCATTTTTTAGCATTATAAGCCTTCAAAGTTACCGCTGAGCCACTGGGGGTGGGTTGGCTAGTCTTTGTGAAGCTCGTTTATTCATGTAATAACTTAGTAACTTAAAAAAACAAACTGTAAAGAAACCAAGTACTTGAAGTTGTTTATAAAACCAAACCAACTAGTTCAATTTTCAAGAATAATGTATATGTCATTTATTACTGTAGATAAACAACAACTAGACTAGGGTTCACAACAGTTTGTTATCTTGGTCTTTAGTAATTATTTTATGACCTTTACAATATTCTCAATAACGTGCTTTTCTGCTTGCTATGCCATATTCATGTTTTTTGTTGTTTTTTTCATAATTTAGTTTGCCCCTGGTGGGTCAGCAGTAAGTTCACAAACTTACGATGCTATTCCCTGCATTGGGCGGAGTGAACAAAGCCCATTATGTAGTTTCAATTTGCACTGAAAGAAATAACTATTATAATATAGTTTAAAGATATTTTAGTTATTAATATTGATACGTATTTGTTTGTTTGTTAATTTCTGGTAGAAATTCTTTCCGAGGAACTTCAGCGATACAAGTCCTTT